TCCAGCTTTCACATGTATGTGAAGCAATTGAATGTGTCATGGTAGGGGTTAGGTGCAACTTTCTTTCTTCTTTGCTTAATTATAGCCCAAAACTTAAGTTCAGAAAAGTCTTTCCTTTCTTTCCTGTTTTTTTAATGACCTTTTCCTTTCTTCATGTATGATTTTATGTCATCTCACAACTCTTCTGGTTTTTAGTTATTGGTATTCGATGCACCAAATCTATTCTTTGGATGGTCTCTAAATTCAGGAGGATATAATCAAGGTCATATTTTGGCTCTTGTGAACTTCTTATAATTGTTTTCAGCTTTAATTTGAACTTGCATACGAGCAGTGGATGTTCTGTTCCACAGTCAGTTCCTGGCCTTGTTTTGGCTGAAGGTATCGAGCTTCTCCATTGCCTCTTTCCACAAATGTAGTCGATCTGATTCCTGGGTACTCCTTCTGGCAAAGTCCGTATGTATAGCTGTCATTTATGTTGTTGAAAAAAGGTATTTGCAATGAATGTCATTCATCTTGCAAAATTCCATCATGTGAACTCCAGCATCATTTCTATCACCAAGGCCATATTTTCTAACTACTGGTGATTCTTCTTTGTTTCCAACTTTTGCATTCCAATCACCAGTAATCATCAACACATCTTGACTGCAAAATCAAGTTGGTAAAAATCTTCAATTTCCTCACCTTTGGCTTTGGTGGTTGGTGTACAAATTGAATAATTAGTAGTATTACCTGGTATTCTTTGTAGGGATATGGATATTATCCTATCACTCACAGCATTGTACTTCAGGTTAGATCTTCAAACACTTTTTGTGACAATGAATGCCACACCATTCCTCTTCCATTTATCATTCCTGGCATAATAGATCACATGATTATCTGATTCAAATTGGCCAAAACCAGTCCATTTCAGCTTACTAAGTCCCAGGATATTGATATTTATGCATCCATTGCATTTTTGACAACTTACAATTGTCCTAGATTCATACTTCATATATTCCATATTCCAATTATTATATTTGTACCTGTTTCTTCCCACTTCTAAAATGAGGGAGTAGCTCAGTAGGAAGAAGAAATCATTTCAATATCACTTCAACTCTTCTTCTCAAATTCCACTGACCCCAGGACTAATGACAAAGGATATGCTGTGATGTAATTGCATGACACACTCTTCTCCGATTTCAGGGCGAGAGATATGTTTGCCTGATCTATTTTCTTCCCTAAATAATAAATGTCATTTGAACAACTTTCTTTCTTCTTTGCTTAATTATAGCCCAAAACTTAAGTTCAGAGCTGCGTTGCACTCTGCAATTTCTTTCAGTCAGAAGCTCTCTGGAATATTTATCTTCATTCTTACCCTATATCCTTCCTACCTCATTTTAATGGTCTATTATCTGTGTTAATAATTATGTTATATTTATATTTTTATATAAATAATAACTACTTTTGTTGAAATATGCAGTAGATTGCTTTAACCACACATTACTACTCATACTCCAAACCAAGCTTGGTACAATAATTACTGTATTTGAAGTATTATAGAGCAAGTGAGGTGTAGAAATCTTAGTAATAATTGTGCTGCTTGTATGAAATTTTATGCTTTAAACAATGCTTTCATGGCCTTTTCAGTTTTTGACATTTAACCCTATGATATTAATAAGGTGTGTATTATTATCATAATTTATAATTATAGAAATGGAGACTCAAAATGCCTAGGGCATCTGAGAGAATAAAATACTTAGGAATAAATCTAACCAGGGACATGAAGGACTTATATGATGAAAATTATAACACACTGCTGGAAGAAGACTTAAATAAATGGAGAGCTATACAGCTACAATAACCAAAACATCCTGGTACTGGTAAAATAATAGACACAAAAAAACAATGGAATAGAATTGAGAGTCCAGAAATAAACCCACAGATCTTTTTGACAAGGGTGCTAAATCCATTCCACAGGGAAAGAAGAGTCTCTTTGAAGAATAAATGGTGCTGGGAAAATTGAAACAGGATCCATATATAAAAATAAATTCAAAATGGATAAAGGATCTAAATGTAGAAACTAAAACCATAAAATCTGCAGAAAACAAGCAGTGGCAACACTGTCAGGTAGGTTTCATAAATGGATCATCTAATATAATAACAAAAATACAAACAGCAAATGACAAATAAATGGGATAACATAAAAACTAAAAACTTTTGTCCATCGAAAGACTACCAAAAAAGTGAAAAGACAAGCTACTGAATAGGAAGATATCTTCAGAAACCATATATCTGATGCAAATCTAGTAACCAAAATATATATAAAACTTTGAACTTAGCAACAAAAAGACAACCCGATTATAATATGAGCAAAAGATTTGAATAGATATTTTACCAAAGAGGACATTCAAATGGACACCAAACACATGAAAAGATGCTCAGCATCATTAGCCATCATAAAGATGCAAATCAAAACTACAATGCGATACCACTTCACTCCCACTGGGACGGCTAAGAAAAAAACAAAATATAAAACGTTAGTGAGGATGTGGGGAAATTGGAACTCTTATTCATTGCTGGTAGGAAGGCAAAATGGTATAGCTGTTGTGGAAAACATTTTGATGGTTTCTCAAAAACTAAAAATAGAACTACTACTTGACTAACACATCCCACTTCTTGATATATATTCAAAAAACTTGAAAGAAAAACTTGTACACCAACATTATAGCTGCGTAATTCACAATAGCCAAAAAGTGTAAACAAACTAAATGCTCATCAATAGATGAATGGATAACCAAAATGTCATACATACATACAATGGAATACTATTCAGCCAGTAGGAGAAGTGAAATCTTGATACATGCTACAGCGTGGATAGAGCTTGAAGACATTATGCTGAGGAAAATAAGCCAATCATAAAAGGCAAATATTGTATGACCTCGCTTATATAAAAATACAAGAAAAGGCAAATGCATAGAGATCTAAATTTATTAGTGTATACCAGGGGCAGGAGGTAAGATGAACAGGGTATTAATGTAGATGGAAAAATCACATTGATTAAAGGTAAGCTTGCACAGTTGATAAATAATTATAATTGCTGTCAATAAGTTGTACATCTGTAATAAGTTGAATTGGCAAAAGTTGTGTTGTGTATTTGCAACAGTGACCAGAAAAAAAAAAAAAAGAGTAGCTGCAGAGGCTACTTATGTACTGGCAATACAGGCAAACATCTCATGCTATATGGTTCCTTGATTTATAGGTGTAGGGTCATAGTTTCATGAGACATCCCAGGAATTGGCCTAATAACATGTTTACCTCCTAGCTCATTGTATCATGCTTGGTGTGGCTTTTTTTTTTTTTTTTTTGGTGTCTTAAAAGCTTGCTAGTGGCCATCTAGACCAAACAGTTTGTCTCTAGTCACCTGGAACAACAGAGGAAGGAGAGGAAGGAGTAGTAGGAGGATATGGAATGTGCAGGTAAATGTTTCCATGAGCTGCCTCCTTTGCTATGATAACAGAAAAACTGGATGGTGCTCTGCTACCACTACTGAACATTTGAATCAAAAATTACATAAAAGAACTTTGATTAAAAGGGAGAAAATATAGAACAGAATTTCAAATTCTCATGGGTGCTAGATTTTCTAGAGCTATAGGGACTGGTTGAACCCTCAAAACTATTGCCCTGGCATAACATACTACCTAAATCATTGTTCCACATCCTACTTTGGTGAGTAGTGACTAGGATCTTAAAAGCTTGCAAGTGGCCATCTAGATGCAATGATGGATCTCTCCTCATCCAGAGCAAAGAAGAATGAAGAAAACCAAAAATACACGGAAAGAATTAGTCCGAGGGACTGGTATACCATGCAATCCTCAGCTTATATGACTATGAGACCAGAAGACCTAAATGGTGCCCGGCTACCACTCTCAACCACTTGGAGGGGGATCTATGTAGATCCTGGATGGAGTGGGAGAGAGGTGTAGAATAACACTCAAAATCATTAAAAAAAAAAAAAAAAAAAGGACCAGGTTTGGTGGTCTGATAAAGCCTGGTAGAATCACTGAAACTATGACCCCTAGCTGCCCTTCAGGTCTGGAATTGAACCCACTCCTGTGGCGTCCAGCCAAACAAAAGACAGGCATATGAGCTGAATATTTACATCAGGTAGATACACTCCTTGGAGAGATCAGTCACGGGAGAATAGAAGGGCTGTGTATGCACAGGGAGACAGCTCAGAGGGCAGGAGTGAAAGGGAGGGAAGGACACAGGGAAGAGGTAACTATGGGGAGGAAGTGATAGGGGAGCTGTTGCATTGTGGGAAATTGGAATCAATGTCATGAGACAAAGTGTATGTGAGCTGCTGTGTAGAAAGTGAACTTGCTCTGTAAACTTTCACCCAAATCACAATAAAAATTCAAACAAACAACAAAAACTACTGTCCTGGGATAATCTTTAAACCTTAAACCAAAAATATCCCCTGGAGTTATCTTAAGGCAAACAATACTTTAGCTTAAGTAGTGAAAAAAGTTCTTCCTTCAGCATTATGCTCTTTTAAGAGCATCTGTACAGTATCAAACTGAAAGCAGCAACTCAAAAATGAGAGAGGAACCTTAGTGCTCAATGAGTTTATGTTAATGGGGGAGGAGCAACTCAGAAAAGAAGGGTGAGAATAGTTTCACAACTTGAAGAATGTAATCAATGTCCCTAAATTGTATGTAGAAACTATTGAAGTGTTGTAACTTTTGTTGTGTATATTCTCAAATTTAGAAGGAAAAGAAAACAAAAGGCATAGGGCCATACAAAAGGCAATTGGTGGTTCAAGCAAATCTGTGCCAACAACATTGTCCATTGTCTCCTAAATGCTTTTTTTTTTTTTTTTTCCACCCTGTAGCTCTGGCATTTGCTATTGGTGGGTTTCTTTTAAAATGACTTGAAAAATCATTTGTGCTTGTGCCTAGCTCCCTAGCAATATTGGCTTGTTTCTTTGGAATTTTATGCTTCAGGCTTTTTTGGAAACTCACAAGTATTCCTGCTGGTGTTCAAGAGATGACTCTTCAGTCAGGTCTTGCATTTTCCCTGAGAAATCCTGTTGAACTTGTTCCTTGTCAGTCTGAGGTAAGAGCTCTGCTACTGAGCTGTCCCCCTCAGTTTTGGGGATGTTATCCTGAAACGTGGAATAACCGACAGAGATATCTTCTTCTGAGACGATGGGTGGGCGATCACAGGACTCGCTTTCCTTAGACACAGGTTGCTCCTCTTTCTGTTTGTGCTGTGTGGTGCATAGTTCTTCTTGAAGCACTGAGAACCCTGAAGGGGAGAACAATTTAAATCAAGTATTTATTTGAAGCTTACCTTATCTATTTTTATTAAGTAACTACTAATGGGCTAATTCTGTTATAAGCCCAATGGTGAACAAGATACTATCACTGTCTTCAAGATGTTTACCATATAGGGGGTCTAGTCGAGTAAGAGTAGATTGACATAGAGAGTGATTGGGCTAAAAGTCTCAGTCAATGAATATGGGAGTTTCTAACTCTTAGGTTTAAACTCAGAGTAAAAAGCAAACATGTCACTTTAATGACTAAGGTGTGCTTGACCCAAACAATAGTCTTGTCAATCACCTCATATGCATGAGAAAGCTAGACATTGAAAATGGAAGACAGAAGATGAATTGATGCATTCAAACTGTGGGGTTGACAAAGGATATTGACTATACCATGGTCTTCCACAATAATGAACAAATCTGTGTTAGTAGAAATTAAACTTGAATGCGCATTAGAAGCAAGAATGATGAGACATGGGCTCACTTTATATATATCATCAGGAAAGATCAATGGCTAGAAAAGGACATTGGTAAAGAGTCAGTGAAAAGGAGGAAAACCCTCAATGAACTAGATTACACAACAATCCAAACAATGAACTCAGACATAACCAATGATCATGGAGATGATGTGGGATTGCACAAAGTTTCATTCTGTTATATATAAAGTCACTGTAAGGTACAGCCAACTTGATACCAACTAACAACAACAACTCTGGCCTAAAAAACAAGAAAGGAATCCAGAGAGTATGATAACATTAAGAGACATAATGATGAGTAGGCATCAACTGAGACAGTTAGAGAATGGAATCTAAATGGCAAGAGGTGTGAGAATTAATAATAATAAAACTAGGGTCAAGGTATAGCATAAAATGGATTAATATTTTAGATAGCCCTATTGTTAGGAAAGTCTGCTCATGGGAGGTAATATTTGAATAGAGGCCTGAATGAAATGCTGAAAAGGCATCTGATGATCTAAGGGAGAAGACCATAAGGTGGAGGAAACAGAAAATACCAATGAAGGTCCTAAAGCAGGAGAGTGCTTGGGGTGATCAGGAGACAGCAAGGAGACCAAATATCTGAGACTAGTGAATGAGGGAGAGAATAGGCAATGGGGGTAAGTTTTGAGGCTCTTGATGAATACTATGATACACCAAAACAACAACAACAACAACAAAAAAAAACCCTCCAAACTCACTGCCATTGAGTTGATTCTACTCCTAGCGATCCCTCCTTGGGTTTCGGAGGCAATATCTCTATGGAAACAGATTGCCCAATCTTCCTTCAGAGGAGTGGCTGGTGGGTTTGAACTGCCAGCCTTCTGTTTACCAATCAAATGTCTCAGGGACTGCATCACCAGAGATCCCGGTATTATATAAAGCAGTCCCTAGGTTTTAAATGAGATCTGTTCCTAATTGTGTCTTTAAGAATCTGTGGGTAAGTCAGAACAGGTGCATGTAATTCTTATTTAGCCTTACTTTTGTGCAAGACGAGGAACTCTGGTGGTGCAGTGGTTAAGGAATTTGGATGCTACCAAAAATGTTGGTAGTTCAAATGCATCAGTTGCTCTGCAGGGGAAAGATGAGGCGATCTGCTTCCATAAAGATTCAAAGCCTTGGAAATCCAATGGGTGTACCTATGAGATGGAATCTACCTGATGGCAGTGAGTTTGGTTTTAGTGCAAGACAGGAGCTCTGGTGACACAGTGGTTAAAGCATTTGGTGGCTAATCAAAAGGTTGGCAGGTCAAACTCAACAGCCACTCTGTAGGAGAAAGATGTTTCTATAAAGATTTACAGCCTTGGAAACCCTAAGGGGCAGTTGTACTCTGTTTTATAGGGTTGTTATGAGTCAGAGTTGACTTGATGGTAGTTAGTTTGGTTCTGGGTTAGTGCAAGAAAATGCTAGAAATCTTTCCCATGATTTAAAAGCTGCACATGCAGCAAGCAAAAGTGACTGTGATGAAAAATTTGTTCTGAGTAGGGGTTGTTTCAATTGTTTCAAAATGAGGGCAAAACAGAAGCAGTAAGTTCAGACTACTATTTTGAGGAAATTTTCTATTAAATGGATGGAGGAAACAGCAGTAATAGGATGAGGTGATTTGGGGTAAAAAGAGGTTTTTGTTTTTTTTTTTTTTTGCTTTGATTTTAAAGATGGGAACTATTAAATATGTCTTAAGGCTCTTGGTCATGGTTCACTTCTTAGGCAACAGAGTGGGTAACTGTAGGAGTGAAGTCCTTGATTGGGTTAAATGGAATGAGATATACCAGTACATAAGAAGAGAGGATGGCTTATTTTTATGGAAGTAGACTGCCATGTGTTTCTCTCACGGAGTGGCTGGGGGTTCAAGTCAAGAACATTTTGATCAGCAGCCGAGAACTTAACCATTGTGCCATCAAAATTTAGATATGTAGATTTTGTTGTAGGAGACTGCATCTGATTAGTCCTGTTTTTCTAAAAAAAAAAAAAAAAAAAAAAATGAAGCTTGGTCAACTGACAGTAAATAAGGAAAAGAGAACTGGAGGTTAGAAGGAAAGATGAGAATATATAAAATAAAGATGAAAGAGAGAGATAACTCAAATGAATAAGAAATGTTTGGAGAAACCTTAATAGTAAAATTGGTGATAGGGCTAATGGCTGGAGGTTCCAGGTGATTTGAAGACTATTTGGTGTAGAAGTAAAAAAGAAAGTAAGACTAACGCTTCAAACCAGGACTTGGAAGTAGTACAATTGTTGTTAGTAATAAGATGTTGGTTGTGACCATAGAAAAGGCTGGCAAAGATGGAGCAGTAGATGCAAGTATCAGAGGTATATTCAAGAAACTGAGAGAACAGGGTGTTGAATTGATCATTCCCATTGATGGTAAAACCAACAAACCACAAAGCACACATAGGGGTGGTGGCAGTCCATAAAACCGACTGGAAAGTTGGAGGTAATGAGGAGAATATACAATACCCAAAAGCCAGTTTCTGGATTAACTACACACACATAAACACGTGTACACACACACACACGTTGGTTGACCTTCACTATGATCCAGTGTAATGGTTTGTTCAATTTCTGCATAGCTGTGACTGATGCGCTCCTGGAGAGGTTCTGTGCTGGCCTCCATGAGATGAACAATATCCATTCGGTTGATCTTGGTAAGACATTCAATAAGACTGGTATCTGGGATATTAAGAAAATAACATTTATTACACATAAAAGGTATTCCTTAAAACATTTCATTCAATTAGATGTTTTACTAAATCTTTGATATTTTGTACAGAAAACAACCAGAGTCCAATTAAGGGTCTTTGTTGAAAATCAACACATAGGCAAACAGACATGCAGAAGAAAAGAGCGGCATAGAAGCAGGGTTGTCAGATAACATACAGGACACCAAGTTAAATTTAATTTTCGGATGAAGAAACAAACGAACAAGCAAAACATTTTTTAAAAATATATATATAATTATATTTTAAATATAGCTTGGGATATATGTATATTAAATAATTTTTTTGTTTATTTGAAATTCAATTTTAACTGAGTGTCTAGTTTTTTATTTACTAAATCTGGCAATCCTACCTATAAGAATGTAAAGAGGAGGAATGATAAGTGTGAAATGAGTATAAACAAGGGAGGTCTCTAGGTAGACTTTCAGGGAGAAATTAAAGGGAGTGGCAAATTCAGACTAGGAGAGAGATGAGAAGCTTTGGTCTGTATCCCTTCTATTTTATTCAAAGTGGTCAGGATACCACATATAAATCATTATATGAATATCTCCTTCACCCTGTCTCCTATTTAAATTACTTAGGAGTAAAGGAAGCAGGAGCTGAAGACAATCACCTATGAACAAGCCAATTAAAGCAATTGTTTCCTTACCATATTTAGAACATTTTACAACTTTAATAACATTCTTGTTATTAGATTTTTCATGCAACATGTATGTTTTAGAAATGGCAAAAGTTTGTCTTATTTGTCATTATAGTATTCCAGATGGATGGCTTTTCTTTCATTTTGCTGAATTTGCAAGCATGTGACTAGTGAGTACAATATTTCCATTTAGTCTAACACTTTTTTTTTTTTAATATATAGTTTTCCACCCACCTGTGGCATGTTTCCCATCCCTTTCTAGCCAATACTTCAACAGTGCATGACTCTGGTCTTGGAGAGAGTTAGGGTTCTCAATTCGAATCTGATGAATTTGCTCCTCAGTGAAATCTAGTTCTCTTGCTAATTCTAGAATAGAAAACAATACTCTGTAAATACATTCACTTCAAGGTTTAAGTCTCTAAATCTTGTTTGGTGATTTTGTAGATGAAATTTTTTTTGCATTGCTGCAAGTTATAAAATTCTTTTTATAATTTCTACTTATTAGAAGGGAGCTCTGGTAGCATAGTGGCTAAAGGCACTTGACTGCTAACCAGAAGGCTGACGGTTAAAACCCACCAGCCACTCCTCGGAAGGAAGGTTGGGCAATCTTACTTCCGTAGTGATACTACCTCAGAAACCCAAGGAGGGTTCGCTATGAGTCGGGGCCGACTCGACGGCAAATAACAACAACAACAACAACTTATTAGAAGGGATTCAAATATTCCCTTGTTCTTTTATCACTGATTTTGGAATTTTCCCTTAAAATTGAGTGTAGAATCAATCACTACCATAAAAGAAAGAGTAAGATGATTCAATGATGACAGAATAAGTATAATTCAGGCATGCTAATTCCAAAATGCAAAACAGACTGTTGCTATTAGCATATATTCTTGGTCCAAGACAACTAATAATAGAAAATTGATAATTGATACTGTCTAGAAGCAGGAGGAACTATTTATCATTTTAATTGTCTTTAAGTGATGTTTTAAGAAAGTCCTGTTTCTTGGACACATACTGAATATGGCTATACTACAGCCGCTGAAGAAATTCCTTCTTTCCTTGATTTAATGTCATGTGAATAAAAGAATTAGGAAAGCACTAACTGATTTGAGGGAGCTCTGGTAGCATAGTGCCCAAGGCACTTGACTGCTAACCAGAAGGCTGGCGGTTCAAAGCCACCAGCCACTCCTCGGAAGGAAGGTTGGGCATTCCTACTTCCGTAGTGATACTGCCTCGGAAACCCAAGGAGGGGTCGCTATGAGCTGGGGCCGACTCAATGGCAAATAACAACAATAACACAACTGATTTGGGAAGAAGCCACAAAGTTCTTCTTTTTGCTACCATAAAAATTCTACATGGATGCTTATACCTTGTGGTTTGTGGGTGTATATGGGATGACCTTTTTGGTGGTCAATCTTTTAATACCTTTCAAAATGAAAGCATACATATTCTTTCATTCAGAAACTCTACTTCCAATAATATACCTACAGATATAGTCACAAAAACATACCAGTAAAAGAGGATATTTATTTTTAATAACAGGAAACAACCCAAATAGTCATCAATAAAATTAATGAAATTAGAGTCTATTTATTCTACTGTATATCTATACAGTAGAATGTTCAATAGCTTCTATCCATTATTACATCTTTTAGAAACTGAAGAGAAAAAAATGTATTTATTACCTTTATATTTATACTAATTGCCTCAAAGAAGAAGCCACAAGTGACAAAAAGGAAGTCAGACTGGCAAACCTACTTTAATATGTTGAATCACAAGTAAGGTAATGGAATGTTGTTGTTGTTGTGGTTGTTATGTGCTATGGAGTTGTCTCCAACTCATAGTGACCCCTCCTTGGGTTTCTGAGGCAATAACACTACAGAAGTAGATTGCCCAACCTTCCTTCTGAGGAACAGCAACAACAGAATAAATCCTTTAACATATTTCAGAATTTCTATACTTTCTAACACTCTCATTCCTCAAAAAATTAAACAACTCATTATTATGTGTATCAACCATCACAAAAAGCAATTTAATATACTTTACATATAAAGATATCTGATATAATGTACCCCAAATAAGGAGGCTTTATGAAATTTCAAATTAAATGTGTCACATTTTCTGAAAATTATATAAAAAATAGTTATACCAAAAATAGTTTGGAAGCACAGTAATATCCTCAAAGTTTACATATCTACAACTATCAAAAGGGAATGGTGAGAGACGGTGTCTTTTCCAAATCTCTAAATTTAAAGTTTTATTATTTTAAATTCCAGACATAGTGGAAAACTTGTCCTGGACCACACCGTTAATCAATGCAGAGTGTGAATTTTCTAGTGCATACTTTATTATTCATTTCAAAATTCCAAATGGTCTTCTCCAAAGAAAGGGTGAAAACACCATTTTCATTGTTAAGGACATTAAGATATATCATTTAAACCAAGCACGTTTTGTTGGAAAGAAATGAATCACACTCATTTTACCTGTCCAGCTGAAGCCGAGGTGATCTGCAATGTAAGCTAGCCTTTCCTCAATTCGTTCCTGCTCATCCTGTGGATCTACAGAAGGTCAAAAACAGAATGGCCAAAGATTGTCTATGACAGCAGAGGAACCACAGTACTGATTCATCCAAAGAAAGGAAGTAATCTATCCAAATATTTTATAGGAGCACAAATTAGATATTACTTTTTTGATCATATTAAGTTGTGTGTTTGCCTATTTTCTGGGATGGAATAGGGAATAAACCTAATATGAATCATGAAAACCATCTGCTTCCATATCTCTTTAATCAAGACTAATATGAGTTGGAATTGACTCAATGGCAACAAGTTTGAGTTTTTGGTTTAGTCATAGATCATAATTACATAAATTGATGATTTCTAGTAATCTTAGGATGTTCCTCTTAATTTATCAGGGAGAATACTGCTCACCAGAAGACAATCATCTTGTTCATCAAACAACAGAGAAATCATAGATGGAATGCAGAAGTGAAGTACTTTTTTATGACCTCTCATTATTTCGTATAGAGCTATAAATCATTTCCAGGACATGTCTGAAAGAAATAATCTCCAATATTCATCAGAGACCTTGATTGTGGATTGATCAAACCACCTAGGTTTGTCCAGTGTGGTGAGAAACAACATTGAGGATAAAAGTGTGTGCATTTGTGTGTATGTTGTATTAGTATGTATGTATGTATATATGTATGTATTAGCTGTGTATCTATCATCTATCTATTTCTTTTGGTAAGGTTTCTGCCTAATATATTACTCGCTTCTACGAATTATGATTTTTATAAACTCATTGACTGATGGGCAGCATTTTAGACCAAGTATCATGAAATTTTTTCATAATCAAAATTTAAGAATAATAGTCTTTATTGTAGAGATATTGGAAGACCAGAGACTACTTCTCAAAGCCATCTATGGTTTCCTTTTTTAGAATTCAAAGTGCAATCATCCTTTCACAGTCAACTAAAATCGTGCAAAGTTTGAGTTTTTGTTGTCTGTGGTATCTAATTGGAATACATTCTCCATTAATCTACCACATAAATGAAAAACATATTTTTACCTTAAATTTGTTTGCTTAAAGTGTTTACCAATGGTATCTGAAATCCATCTTTTCTGAATCAAAAACAGATCCATAACAATTGGAATTTTATATGAGAAATCTTCTCAAGCAAATGGCTTCCTAATGATCACAAAATTGTAAATACATATTAAACTTTGCAAAAGCAAGAAGGAAAAGCAATGAATCCTCATCCTATGGAGCAAAAATCAATACATTCATGTGCATAAACAAAAGTGCTTAATTTGAGGCTAAACCTGGGACTTCAGAACAACAAAACTCAAAGCTTGCATGGTCTTGCGTGCAGTGGCTAGAAAAAGGCAAGATTACCATTGCCGGTTTATCATGTTTATGTTTTCCATAAGCATTCTCATTATTCAATCTTGAGATTGTTTTCATAGACAAGATTACACAGAGAAAGCACAAAACATAAAAAGCTTACACAAACACATTAACCACCACAGAAAGCTTAAAGAAAATGAGACACAAATCACCAAATAAAACAACAACAAAAAAAAACTATATCAAATTTATGACATGCGTAGCACAGGGAATCCCAGTGGCTGGCAAATACCTTCAACATGGTCATGGCCATTTTCATCAGGGATGCGTTCAATCAGAGTCTCAATGGACTCATCCCAAATGGGCCTTGTGTCAAAGATGTCCTCAGGAACTGAGTGCTCGGTCTCGACAGGTGGTAGATTTTCAATTACTGAAACTTCCAGGGCACTACTACTCTCATCATCTGACACTAATTCCTGCTCCCTTTCTGACTGTGTAAGTCTATCCACTAACTTGGAAGCCTCATCACTGATCTCCTCAAAGAATTCTATGGAGTTTCTGTAAAGGTCAAAGAAATGCTCTTTACTTTCTGTTGTGGGGCTTATGCTCCCTCTGCAGGAAGATGTAGTGCTTTTGCTCTTAACTGGCAATCGAGAAAATATCTTTGGTCTTGTTGCTCCTTCTTCTGATTCTAACTCAAGCTCCCCTGCCTTCTCTCTGCTTTCTGTTTCTGCCTCAGTGTAACTTTTAGTTTTTACTGGACATTTGGTTTTTGAGTCCAAAGGACTAGCATCAGATTCAGATTTGCTTCTACTATCTGGTGTTCCGCTTGTCATGTCCAGACCCTGAGGAGCTACTGTTTTCTGGAGAGATGAGTCTACTTGTGAAAGCTGTTGCTCGGCTCTTTGGATGGGTGCTTTGATGGGGATTTTGGACTTTGGTTTTGTTTCATCATCCTTACTTTCCTCATCCAGACTGGGCAGAAAATCTTCAGAAAGTGAACTCTCGTACTCTGCAGATGGAGGTGCTGGTGTTGAAGGAGGCATAGTCCTTATAGGTATTTTAGATTTGCTTTCAGTAGAAGGCACGTTCTCCATGGGTGCAGTAGGGATTTCAATCACAGATTTTTGTTCTTCTGGGGAAGAATCAGGAGAATCATCTTCCCGATCTGAATATACAGACCTGGTGACTGTGGAAAAATCTAATTGAACTTGTACAACTGGTTCAGGGGAGTCAGGACAAGTTGTCTGCTTCATATTGGACACAGGAGGTGTCTCACTCATTTGCATTGTGGCAAGGTCTTCTGATCCTGCCGATGTGACTTCTTTTGTAGATGTTTCTACAGAGGCTGACATCCCCATTTGGGAGTTAAGTTGAGCATCTGAGGCAGGTGCTTCATCTACTTTCTCACTCAGGTCAGCTGGAAGTAAGTCAGCTTCATCATCAAATGTTTCTTTTGATTCTGAAAGTGTTAGTGACTTGGCTGATGTCTCCATTTGTAGGGGCTCAGCTTTAGAAGCCCCTTCTTTCATGTCTTCAGAGAGGGTGTCTTCCTTGGATTCTTGTCCAATTTGGAAAAAGTGGAAACTTTCATCTGCATAGGACCTTTTGGTCATATCGATGGCACCACTTCGGGTCATCTCAAACAACTTTCCTTCCTGAAAGAGAAATGGATTTTGTTCACTTGTTGGTGTCCCCTCTTCAGTTGGGGTCCTAGCAGGAGTGGTGTCAGGGGTGGTACCCTGTGATTGTCTGTCTACCATCAAACCAAATATCTTTTGTTCTTCCTCTTTCACTCGCGCCTCAAAGGCCTCATCATCTTCACGAATTTCACTCCAGGAATCAGAATCCACATCAGTTTTTGTGATAATGACTTTACTTATTTGTCCACCAACAACTGCTGATGTATTTGTTATAGTAGGCTCTACAGATGAGGCAGCTCTATCTGACTGCTTTTCCCTTGCAGAACATTCTTGTTTTGATTCTATTTCCATGTCCTGGTTCTCAAAATTAGATTCCTTGCTTACAACAGTTCCACTAGAGGAGCTCTCCACTACTACATTTTCAACAGATGATGTGATTGTTGCAGAATATACTGCAGAAGAGTGAAAACTTGTGGTGTGTCTCTCATCTGCTTGGGTTTTGCTTTCTTCACTCGGGAAAAATGATTGGGAAGGAACATTTTCATAAGGGCTTGTGATTTGAGGATCATAGATTTCATCAGTCTCAGCTGGGTCAGAAACTGGAACTTCCACAGATAATCTATCAGTTTGAGTAGTGCTGGATGACTCCTTAGTAGAACAATCAGTTGGTAAGCTCTCAAAAGTTTGGACATTTTTTGTAACCTCCATTTTTATAGATGAAGATGTGGAGGATACATCTTCATCTAGTTCTTTTCCTTCAGGTACTGGACAATGAGTCAAGGAGGACAAAGACGACGAGCTTTCACTGGAACATTCTACTTGAAGAGATTCTACTTTAGAACCATCAAGCTCTTCATCTTCTGTGTCTGTTTTGTGATTATCTTCAAGAGCTAAGGATTCTTTATGGATAAGTAGCTGCTCATCAATATCATCACCAGTTGAACTCTGAAGACCTGAATAGATTGGAATGCCTGAGCTGCTAGGGCACACAGCCTCACAGCCATTGCCATCACAGATTTTAGGCTGATCAGTGTCTCTGTTTAAATCATAAGACATATCTGGACCATCAGTGGTAATATTTTGATTGTCTTCAGGCAAATGGGACTCTGAGTCTTTTTCTTCTGCTGATTTACCTGGCTCTTCTAGAATCTCTTCCTTCATTTTGAAAGTGTACTGTTTAGAAACTATAGGTTGGAATTGCACTTCTTCAGGACTTGAATTGGAGTCCATGCTGGATGGAAGTGGTGAAGGAGGTTGTACACGAATAACTGGTTCTTCTAAGAGGCCTGAGTCAGCACCTGTTTTCAACTGTGTCAACTCAGGTTCACTTTCTGAGGAAGAAGAAGCCTTTCGGCTCTCAGATGTGGCTAATGCAGGGACACCACTTTCACCCTCCACACTTTCCACATGCTTTGGTTCATCCAAGTCAGCTGAAGAGTCAGCATCTGGGTCAGAAGATGAAGATTCTTCTTGCTTGGGTTCTTTCTTATAGTCCCTTTTTTGCTTCGCTTCTTGTTCAAGTTCATCAAATGTTTTGATTTTGGTCACCATTTTAAACATTTCCTCTTCAGGTGTGAACCTTTTTTTATCCCCATTTTCTGAGTCATCCTCCTCTGCACATTCATGAATCACAGCTGGTTTTGGTGTGTTTGCATCTGTGGCTTTGGGTGTGACCTCATAGCTAATTTCTTCCGAGCTGGGTGTGTCAGGAGAAAGGGGGCTCTTCCCTGAGCTCTCCATGAGTGACGTTTGCTCAAGACTGTCATCCTCAGCACTGCCATCAGGGTCTCGGAGCAGCCGGGACCGCATGGAAGCCACTTCTGTAAAGAGTTCTACTTTGGTGACGGCTGCAGGAAGAGGAAAGTGACTTTGGAGAATTTCAGCCTTCATCTTTGGTTCAACCGGGCTGCTTTCAAGAGAGTCACGGCAAGGGGATTCTTTCAGAGGACTTGGTTCCAGAGAATCAGGAGTTTTGTGTGAGGAGTTATCTTCCAGCACAGGGCTGGCTTCCAGAGAATCTTTGTGGCTTACTGCTAATGATTCATCAGCCACAGGGCTGAGGATTTCACTATCACATCTGGGAAGTGCAAGTTCTAAACCTTGGGGACTTCTAATGACTCCCTGAGGCTTTGATTCAGTCCCAGAGTCTGTCTTCACAGAGGCATCAGGTAATGGTGAAGACTTTGTGTCATCTGAGGGTTCAGTGGTTGTAGATTTCAGAACCTCAACATCAGTTTGTACCTTATGGGCTGAACTATCACTTGTAAGTTGAACTTCATCAGAGGAGGCTTCCTTAGTCAGTTCTTTGGGTGTTTCTTCTGCTAAGGATACACTACTCCTGCCAAGGCAATCTTCTTGTTTGGGGCATGAGTCTTTGGAAAAGTCTATGGTGGTCTCCTTTAGAACACCATCAACAGAAAGATCTGTGTCCTCAGAGATTGCAGCACCTTGCTCTTCAGAACCATCACTAAGGTCTTTGGTTGTAGGATGTTCTTTTTCTGAATGACTTTCTTTTGGTGCTTCTAACTTGGTAGTTTCCTCAGTATCCTTTTCACTTTTCTTTGGTGAGAAAGAAAGGCTTTCTGGGCTTGTCTCTGGGGTCTCTGCTAGGCCCTCATGCTTATAGCTTTCTTCTGAACTAATCTGAGGCGTCCCTTCCATCAGACTGCCACATGGGGAATCTGCTATCCCTTCATGCTTTAGGCTTTCAGAACTGCCATCTAAAGCACTGGTGTGTAAAGAAAGCGCTGGAAGGAATTCATCTTTCATATAATCTAGTGGGAAAGTTGTGTTGAAAGGGCTAGTGAGTACTTGGTCTAAATGAAGCTGTGCCTTTTCAGTCTCTTCACTAAGGCGGAATTGTTGATATTTATCATTGTCTTCTAACTCTTGCTTAATAACATCAGAAAAGTCAGTGGAGGTTTTTCTGTCTGGGCTGATCTGGAGATCCATTTCTCCTTGTTCATCAGCCATCTTTTCTTTGGGGACCTCACTTTCTTTGTGGCTTTCTTCTTGGGGTGCTAACTGAGCAGGCTCAGGTGTTACGTGGCTGAAAGCTTTTTCCTTTTCTCCAACTATATCTTGTCTCTTCAACCCTATAGAGGAAGCACGGACTAGTTTTTTGGATTCTGAAGTTCCTGTTACTAAAAATCTCTGGCCTCGTTTGATTGTCTGACTCTCAGTTTTCTGTGTTTCTCTCTGGGTTATTACCTGCCCCTTTTCTTTTTCTACTCGAGCTTTGCCTTTCTCTTGTGTCTGCTTTTGTTTTACTGATTTGTGCTCAAAGAGTCCAGTCTTATGTTTAGATGGGTCTTGACCTGATTGGAAGGCTTTCATCAATTCCCGAACAGACATTGTCTCCTCAATTCTTTCTGTTTTTGAAGTGGGAGAGACAGGTGGTTGCTTGTCTGTTTTACCTGAAGGTGACACAGGCAGGTGCTTTTCGGTTTTCCCAGAGGTTGATACAGGTGGGTGCTTTTCCATTCTTCCAGAGGGTGATACAGGCAATCGTTTTTCTGTTCTTCCAGGTGATACTGGTGGATGTCTCTCTGGTCTCCCAGAGGGTGATGCAGTTGGGCGTTTGTCTGTTTTACCTGAAGGTGATACAGGTGTGTGTCTTTCTGTTTTTGCAGAAGGTGATCCAGGGGAGTGTCTTTCAGCTTTTGTAGAGGGTGATACAGGTGAGTGTTTCTCAGTTTTACTTGATGATGACACAGGTGGATGTCTTTCCGTTTTTGCAGAGGGTGACACGGGTGAGTGTTTTTCAGTTTTGCTTGATGGGGATACAGGAGGATGCCTTTCAGTTTTTACAAAAGTGGAAAGAGAAGTATGTCTATCTGTTTTAGAGGAGGGTGATGCTGGTGCATGCCTTTCTGACTTCAGAGAAGGTGATGCAGCTGGATGTATCCTATGGGTGGTCTTTTTTGGCACATCTTCTTTGCCTTTGACTCTGACAGGCAACTTGCTTCGACCTTTCTGTTCATCTTCTACTCGCTTCTGAAGGGCCTTTACCTTGTCCTTTATGGACCCAATGGGAGTTTCTTCTATCAAAGGAGATGTGGCCTTTGCCGTGGGAAGAGGTTCAGGGGCTAAACCAGATTCTTCATCTAATGACTCTTCTGAACTGCATTTTTTAAATTCATTTTTATCTGCACCAGCTTGTAAACTTTCCTCTTTTTGTTTCTGTTTTTCTTTTAATTTCCTTCTCACTGGCTTCTTTATTCCCAGGCTTGGTTTATGCTGTTCTTGTGTACTCTGTGACTCATCTGGGGGTGCACTTTTCTCTTCATTTTCAGTGCTCCTGCTAATAGCCACAGACTTACATTTTTCCCCTGCAACATCTTGAACTGTCTGTGGTTGCACTTCATGGCGACTCCCATACAAACTTAGATCATTGATAAGGTAGTTCACTAACCCAGTTGAGTCTTTTTCTGCTTTTACTTTGGCCTCTTTTTCTAGTCTAATTTCTACACATGGATATTCAGTGATTTCTAAAGATGCCTTTTGCTTAGCCTCTTCTATTTCCTCCTCACTCACAATAACCCATTCTTCTTCCACTAACACTCTCTCTGACTGAGACCTCTGCATACTGCCTTCATCGCTTGTGCAGGTTCCACTTCTCAGGATCTCATTCACTTTCTCTAAGTCCTCTTTAACTCTTTCAACAATTTCAAAAGGCTCCCCTGGCTCTTCCTCAGCAGCCTTCACCAGCTCCTTCACTTTAATAGACTCTGCCTTATCTGACACATCTGTGGTCAAGATGGCGGTCATTTTGATCAAATCTTGTTTCATCTCAGAAACTTCAGAGAGCAAATCCGGACTTGCTAGGACAGGAACTTCATTTACCAGGTGACTTTTCAGGACAGATGTTTCTGTAGATTCTGTCTCATCATCTTTGATGTGGATGTAAAAACATTGAAAGTAAAATGGAAATCAAAAAGGATATTGGCAAATGTAATCAGGACTGAAATGAGACAGCGTCTTTTCCTGTCGTGGTGAGAGGGGCAACAAAATGGGCTGGGAATGGTGGATCCACAAGGTCTCAGGGAACAAGAGCAAAGCAAGGCTAACAGAAGGAAAAAAAACTGAAAAGGAAAAATGAGCAGGAAATAACTTGCTTAATTTTCTCACTGTAGCACATCCACACATACAACGAAACAAAGCTATAACAAATAATCAAGACCCCACACACAAAAAAAACCGTCACAAATCAAAACAAAGAAAGAACGCAGTGAAATTACACAGAGGTATCTCAAGATTGTTAAAATGTTACATATCAATGTTCAAAATAAAATAAAATAAAATAAACATGGGGAAACAAGGAAAAAAAAAGCATTAGAAATTGCAGAAAGTTGATTTCCTCTAGGAGAAAGCCAGTAGTAGCAAACTGTCAGAATAACTTCTAATGATGAATACACATTTTTTAGTCATATAAAAATCTGAAATTCATATGTTATATCTGCCAATATGTATAAGAACTAAATAAAATATATCTGAATCAGCTGCACACCGGCATTTCATCTAAGGAAAATTCACACCTAACAATGAAACAAACAGTTTTGTGCTGAGAGGCATGGTCCTTTCCTTGGAGCAACCTCCTTGTTTAGACACATAATGGACAGATCAAGGAGGAAATAAAGGAAAGGAAAGGAAAACAACAAAAACAACAATTGTGATTAAACTTATATGAGTCCAAAGTTAAAACATAATACATGGCAACCCAAATCAGAGACAGTCACACAGGACACACACACAGTTTATGTAAGCCAAGTTATTTCCATGCAAAGCAAAGGTGAAGTAAAATTGCTGGGGATGTGGCCTTGGTTAGAAGCACTGGCAGAAAGATGGTTAGAAATTAGAAAAAATGTGTAAAACATTACTGTGGTGAAGCATATTTATTTCTCTTCAAGATAATATGTAAGATGCCATAAAGTGGTTTATTTGAGGCATTGGTAGTGGGGGCATGCACCCATGAAGGGCAAGGAGGGAGAATCAGTCAAACTTACTAATGATTTACTCATGAAAAAGAACTGAGGCCTTTAAATGAGGGCATTTTCAGAGATAATTTTATACCTAGATGAAGACTATTTTATGAGTGTCTTTAATACAAAAACCAAATATGAGTCTATACTTGAAACTTTTAACATTCACAACACTTAGGAGTCATTCAGGAGAATCCCTGCCATTATAGCAACCTGATAATTTTTTTTCCTAAGGCACTTGACTGCTAACCAGAAGGCTGGCGGTTCAAACCCACTCCTCAGAAGGAAGGTTGGGCAATCCTACTTCCGTAGTGATACTGCCTCGGAAACCCAAGGAGGGGTCGCTATGAGTCGGGGCCAACTTGACGGCATATAACAACAACAACATGGTTGATGCAGATGAACAGATTAATTCTTAACATCTTTTAGCTTGTATCCAAAGAGCAAAGGAAAGGAAGGGCCTTTTAGACACAGTAGTCCTGAAGAAGATTGTGGGAGAATAAAATAAAATCTTTTGTAAGAAAACGGGCATCAGTGAAGGCAATGATAACATGTCATAGAAATGAAAGTACCTCCACTCAAGAAAATCAGTATTTGTTGAAATGGTACAGTTTGGGAATATGTATATATCAAAATATATTTAAATAATTTATATCGATATAAATTCGGTCAATTATATAAACCAATTAAAAACATTCAGAATTTCAGATATTCTCATTCTGAATAATGATTTAACATAAAAGTAAGGAGATCTTCAATTAAACATATTCTAACTTGGTAGTAATTTACATTGTACTAGGGTATGAAAATCCTTCAGATAATTTCTAGAGTGTATAGGGTCAGATGACCCTTTTAAATATAGCTCTAAGTTTTCTCCTTGTAGGAATATTACCTTGAAATACAATGTATTGGAATGAATCTTAAAATGGACGAACATTAAAAATTAGAATTTTTTTGTTCTAAAGTACATGGGAAATAAAAACAAGAAAACTGTACAATTCAAGTTGAGTTTCTGCTCAAGAAGTCATTGGAAACAGGCCAACAAAGTAAAATGTTCATTGAAGGTAACAAGCCTGAAAGAATTCTAAGACAGGTCTTTTAAGGTCTTAAGGTCTGTAAAAACCAGTTCCCTCTGAACTAGATGGTTGGGGGTTTTCATCGTTATCTAAAATTAGCCCTGTAATATACTGTTGTGGTTAATCATTCCATCCAGGAGGTTTTCATTGTTGGGTCCTAAGTTTTTTTTCAGAAAGTTTTCACCCAAAGTCTGTTAGACATCAACCCTAAGGAAGTCGGTTACATTTCACCACAGTAAGGTGTGAGGGAGGGGTAGGTGGGAAGTTAGTTTCACTTACAGCTATTAAACAGTATCACTTTTTTTTTTTTAGATGTATCCTATGTAAATAATCCACTCTCTACAGAAGACAGTGTAAAAAGTGATACTGTCATTTCAGTGCTCAAAAAAAATGAGATGAAAATGTTATGCTAACAAATGGACAAAAACAGTAGGTTAGGTTTCTAAACAAGCAAAACAGCAATAGCAGGGTTAACAGGGATGTCAAAAGAAAGTGAATGCTTAGATGAATAATCATTGCATTTTACTGATAGTTAGCTTACAAATTAGATATATTTGTAATTTAACTGACCAAGCTGCTTTTATTACTATATATTAATGATTAATAAGAATAATATAAAAATATAATAATTATAGTTGTTAGTGATGGCAACTAGTTTGCATCTTAATTCATGCTTTTCCTATTGTAGCCAGCTTTCAAACAAACTCAGTTTTATTTAAAATCTTACTTTTTTCTGATGTCATATCGATCTGAAAGAAAACATACATAAATTGAAATGATTACAAAGAGAATCTTGTCTCACAGCCCCTGATGTGCACAATAAACTCCTATTCATAATTATACACATGAGGGTGACAATGCAAACCACAGATGGGTCAGAGGAATTTGCTACAGTTCTTTCTCAGGATCTCCTTGATTCTTATCCTAAATTTGGAGGGGGAAAAAAAATCTCATTTCTACACACTATGTGTGGAAAGTCCTTTTTAACATTATTTCTGGGAAGATACAAACCATGACATATTTGGTGTTAAAAATATATCTGTACTATGGAAAAGGGCAAGAAAACAGTGAACTAGGTGTTAAATAGTAAATGACAATTTAACAAACCACTTGCCAGGATGAAACATTAGAGATTCATTATCATAATAACAAGCCAGCATTCCAAATCCTGAAAAGAAAATATAACTTTGCCCTGTTGCCCTGAATAGTTCCTGAAAATATGCAATAGAAAATAACATAACCAATGTGGAAAAAACACTTGTGCACATAGCAAACTTGGTTTTATAATTTCACTGCTCTTTCAATAAGGTAGGCAGTTATTAGTTTTAAGAGCTTTGGTGATAGAGTCACAAAATACAGGAAGGAAACTGAATATTTGAGACAAAGAGTGACTACACAGTTGAGAGGAAGAATGACTTCAGTCTTGTTATAAGTTTTTTGTGTATATGGCTTTATACAGTAGATCTATAAATCACCCCAAACACACCTTGTTCTGTTCTACTGCCAAGATATCAGAAAAAGCTAATTCAGGGGTATTCTCTTGACTGATGACATACATTTTAAGATGGGTAAAAGCATGTGTATCATGTTTTTCTTGTTTTTGGTATTTGAAATGTATCATAATAATAATTTTTCAAAAAAGAAAACAAGTATATTTTAAAACATTTAAGTATAATGAATAACAATTATATTTGTCTTAGTAGTAGAAATTGATAAGTTAATAGATAAGTATAAGGAAATTTCACACAATTTTTTTTTTTAAATTTATTATGTAATGTTTGGGCATTTCCAGATCTTTATAGGGGAGACAAATACATATTTGCTTTAAATATTGAAGCAAGTATAATTCAAATGTCTATTTGTTCAGGGTCACTTCTCTAAGACTTATTTCTTCATCCATGATGAAGGTAAAAATAACACATACCCCATAAGGTGGGTGTGAGAGATCAGTGTTGATTAGGTATGCAGAGCATGTACAAAAGAGCCTACTTTATAGCAAATGCTCATTATTAGTATATTTCTGCATTATAATGTTTTTATAGCTTACTGGATGAACTATATGAATTTAACATTTTTTTTCTTTGTCTTACTAGTTCTTAAACTTTTTGGTCTTAAGATGCCTTTACACTCCTAAAAATTACTGAGGAATCCAAAGACCTTTTGTTTATATACAACAACAAATTAAAGCTGAGAAAATTCTAGAACTCAGGAAAACACAAGTATACATTCCATTAATCATCTGAGTGATGATGTTATATGTAATGTAGCTCTTGGAAAAGTCCACTTAGTGAATTTTTCTCATTGTGAAGAAACGAGAGTTAAAAAGGCAAATAAAGCCTTTAGTACTATTGCAAAAACTGTTTTGACCTCTAGAGGTCCCCAGACCAACTTTTGAGAACTGCTGAGGTGATGATTTGGCTTCTAGGAGTTAAGAGAGAAATATGTATTATTGCATTAAGATAAGACAACAATTTACAGGGAAACTTTACTATTTTCTGAATGTAGTAGACCACAAGATGAGAAAACAGGCTCAGAGAGGTTCAATAAAATTATGACCCTTTAATTATTAAGAACAACTGTATGACTTATCTGAGAATACAGGTTAACTCTGTGATCTTATTAGTAGTTATAGCAATGACACAGTCATTAACACATGACACTGTCATAAAATTACCTCTTCTTCCTGTTCTTGATCTGACTCTGACTCCTTGCCGCCCCAAGATGCCATGCAAGATGGAAAAAAGAGAGCCAGAATAGTAGAGGATATTTAGAAGAAAAGAGTAAATACTCTGCCAACAAATGTCAACAGGCAAGCATATATATAGTCAGCATTCACCTTTTTTCTTATTAAGACTTTACAGAAGACAGGCAGAAAAATTACAGAGAATTGATATAAATGCAAAAGACTTTAGATTCAAGACCCAAGAATCAACATTATAAATATACTCATTTCAGATACTAGGTCATGAGCAGTCCCAAAGTTTGGCATTTAGTAGATTTCATGGCATATATACTATAGAAATGGTGATGATGACACCCCAGTCATTAAAGACATTGACTGAAGATGTTAATAGCTACAACTAAGCATATGGTGAACATATTTTCAATACAGAGGCATTAATTAGGAGCTCTATTATAACATAATGGCTGTTATTGTTAGTTACTGTCAAATTGATTATAACTCATGGAGACCCAATGTGTGCAGAGCAGAATTGCTCCACAGGGTTTTCAAGACTGTGACCTTTTGGAAGCAGATTGCCAGGCCTGTTTTCTGAGGTCCCTCTGGGTGTGTTTGAACTGTCAACTTTTCAGCTAGTTGTTGAGCACTTAACCATTTATGCCATTGAGGGACTGCTATCTATTATAATAAAGGGTACTTACTAAATCTTAAAGTATATCTGAACTGTACAATGTTTGGCATTTTCTTCTTCTTCTTCTCCTTTTTTTTTTTCCTGTTTGAGTTGCCAAATGGAAAATTGCCCTGGACCATCACAGCTTTGATATCTACGTCTGATATGTCTTGACTTGGACATTAAATGTATTAATAAAGTAAATGTTCTCTTTTATAACACAATGAAAGCTCATTGAAGTCAGAGACAAAGTTCATTCATCTTTGTCTATCATTCAGGTGTCTTGCCCATAACGGTGCATGTTTCTTGGTGGGTCTTCTCTTGTATTCTGCCTGTGATGCCTCACAATTGTTCAACCCTACAAAACTCACAGTACATTCTGCACCATTGGAGTAAGGTTATATCCTGCTCATTCGGGTAGCTGTATCTATTCCTGTATTCCAATTCTTGGAATAACATGTATATTTATGTAAGTAGATAACATTTCCTTTCATTTTCATCCTTTGGTAAGAATTTACAATATCAAGCATGACATTATGCACTTTTCTCCATGATAGATCAAAATCTTCCAGAATAAGTAATTAAGCAAAATAATGCAATTTGACAAGTATAGGAAATTATTTGTTTGTGGAATAAAGATTAAGGATTTTAAATATATCCCTACTTCCCCTCCAGTTCTTATCTGCCACTCTCCATCCTCCTTCCCTACCTCCAATGCACATACTAACAAACTTGATGCAACCTCTCACAGGTTGCCTTTGGAGCCTTCTATTAAAAAAGGGATATTGGGAAAAAATAATAAGAAGGAAAGTTATAAATAATTTTATTTAATTCAATTTTCCTCTTTGGTCAGAGTAATCAAGGAATTCTATAAGGAGGGAGATTTGGATAGAAAGTGATATCTGTAGGTATTCTTTGGGTCAGGAATAAATGACGTTTTCTTTTTAAAAAGCAATGCTTGAAATTTAATCCTTATAATATGAGAGCATTTTTGTACGTTAACCATGTTAAAATTATTGAAATATTAAGTTGATACTCTTAAAATGTTACAAGTTATAAGATAAACAGGCAATTATTTTAACAAGATAAAATATCATGAGTTTGCTTAGAGTTTAATAATATATAATACACCTATGAATCAGTAGGAAGCAGAAGCTAATGGACTAAGAATATATTGGAAGGGCCAAATGCATAAGTGTGCTCTCAACAGAGCAAAAAAAAAAAAAAAAAACCAA